TACTGGCCACAGTACTCGGTGCCAGGCGGTGTGTGGTATCAAGGGCATCCAGCGCTTCGACAGAGTGATGGAGGCAAAGGTGGCGGCAAGTACGACAAGGGCGGCAAGAAGGGCCTTGGGGGGGAAAGTCCCCTCAGGGCGGCAAAGGGCCAGGTGGTGGACAACCGCCGCGGGCCCTCGCGCAGGAGGAGCGCGAGATGTGGATGGCCATGTCGGAGGAGCAGTTCGCCGCTCTGGGTCGAAGCTTGTCGCAGTCGCACAGAGATCAGCTCGCCCACGCTCGTGCCATGGCCAACTTCGGGCTGCAGGGCGCGCAGGCGGAGGCGCAGCAGGCAAATCTACAGATTGGGAAGTTCTCGCAGCAGGTGCTGCACCAGAAGCAGAGGCTCGCGAAGCTGGAGGAGCAGGCGCAGCAGGCGATCATGGCGGCGGTCGAGGCCAAGCAGCAGTTGCAGGAGACGGAGAAGCAGCTGCGCGAGGCCAAGCGGCGCGCGGCGGAGCACCTGGGGCCCCAGGGGCTGGCGCAGCAGGTCGCGACCGACGCGATCGAGACGCCGATCAAGGAGGCGCTGGGCAAGTTCGAGCAGGCGGTGCCGTCGGAGATTGCCCCGCAGCTGCAGGGCGCGGTCGCTGCGCTCAGGGCGGCCATGGAGGCGGTGGCGCAGCAGGCCGCGGCGGCGATGCAGGGGAAGCCGCCTGGGGGCGCCGCGGCGCCAGGCGGCACCGGTGGCGCCGCCGCCGCGGGCGCGGGAGCGGGCGCCGCCAGCGCGGGAGGCGCTGGCGCTGGTGCCCCGCCGCCAGGCGCCCAGGGTGCCGCAGGCAGCGGCGCCGACACGTCGCGCGACGTCAAGATGGTGGAAGCTGATGGTGGTGTGCTTCTTGACCTTCGCTCTCAGCTGGAGTCCGATGGCAAGCTCAAGGACCCCGAAGTGCAGGCCACCATCCAGAGCCTGTTCAGCAAGGCGGCCCAGCGCCTTGAGGAGGAGAAAGCAGAGTTGGCAAAACGAGAAAGCCGCAGCAGGAGCCCAGGATCGAGATCTAATATGTCCAGCTCCTAGCCTGTGGAGTTTCTTCTCGGCCAATGTCACCAGTTGGCCGAGATGCCAGAGCTATTTGGAAAAGGAATGTGATGGAGCCACATGCTTCCTTCAGAGGAGTGTAAAGTCGAGAAGGCCGATCTGGCCCAATCCAGCAGCACATTTTTGAAGTTTGGATGGATGTAAGGTTAGGAGCCTGTGAGGTGACCCAGTCTGGAGGCCTGTCTTCGGGGGTAGGAGTCGCCTGTAGAGTAGGAGTAGGCATGGGTGCCATGGAAGGTATGCCGAGACCAACCTCGAGAGTTGCCTCAGCGTGGGTAGGTGGTTTGCTGAAAGGTGGCATCATAGGGGCCTCGGTCTACTTACCGTCGGGGGAAGGTGCAGGTGCCCAAGGGCGCCAGATCCTGATGCAGCTCGGAGAGACACTGTACACGTCTGGGAAGCCCTTTGTCATTGGAGGGGATTTCAATGCGACGGCAGATGAAATCAGAGCTCTCGGGATCCTTGAGAAGTTCGGAGGTGTTATTATCCAGCCTGGGAAGCCTACGTGCAGAGTGGGTAAGGAATGGAGAACGATCGATTATTTCATAGTTTCAGGAGGCCTCGTTCCAGCAGTGGTAAGATGCGATGGGATCGAAGAGACAGAGCTGTCGACACATTATCCAGTCAAGCTAGTACTTCGCACGGATTCGCATATTGCTCAGATTCGAGTCTTGGCCAAACCTCGTCAGTTTCCCGATGAGCTACCAGTGGGGCCTGCACCAGCCCCACCGCAAGCTTGGGAAGAGTTTCTAGATAGGTTGGAGACCTTCGTGGCAGACTCGGTCTTCACGGCAGAGCAGGCGAAGGCTACGTATGCTGAGTTCTGTGCTTTGGCCGAGCAGGAGCTGGTGAACACTTACCAGATCGCTCCTGCGCAGGCTGATGGGTACAAAGGAAGAGGAGCCCCTTTCAGGTTCGTTTGGAGGCCTGCTCTAACGAAAGTCGGGGGGTCCTACCCTCTGGGATCTCCAGTATCCAAGGCAATGAGGAGGTATAACGTCAGGATGGAGGAGTTGTTGTTTCTGCTCCGCAAGGGCCGTTCAGGCCAGGATAAGCATGTGCAGGACTTGCTGAAAAAGGCAAGGGAGCCGCCCGCGACCCTGTGGGAGTGCGAGCGCTGGGTCAACTGGAGGCATAAGCATTTTTCTCTGGAAGGCTACCACGCCGAGGCGCTGCACGAAGCGATCCAGGACCATGTAAAGTGCATCCAGGGTGAGGAGCAGGTTTGGAAAAGGTCTCGGCAACAAGAGTGGAGACAATGGGCCCGCTCGGCCCTGGAAAATGGCGGGGGGGAAAGCTCACAAGTGGACGAAGCAGCCCAACGACTGGATCCCCGCGGACCCTGGCCTCAATGGGGCCCCTGGAGGTTTTCAGGATCAGGTGGAGGCCCTGGAGGGGGAGTGGAAGCACATCTGGAGGTTTGGGGAGGTGCCCAAGGTCGCTCCCAGGATGCTCAATGAGATGCCCCTCGAGGACCCGAAGCCGCCAGTTGCGCCAGATAAAATCAGGTCCGTCTTGGGGAAGTTCAAGAAGCACACAGCTGTGGGAGTTTGTAACTGGGCCCCGCACGCGCTGAAGCAGCTCTGTTCTTCTGGCTTGCTTGCTCTCAGTGTCTTGATGTATCTGTGGGGCACGTACACCCAGATGCCCGAGCAGATTGCGCTGCTCATTTTGCCGTTTTTGCAGAAGCCTGAAGGGGGGAGGAGGCCCATCGGGATAATCTCCACCCCAATGAGACTCTACAGTCGACTTCGGCATGAGGAGGCGGAAAGGTGGGAGGACAACCACGCACGCACGTACATGTATGGAGGGAAGGGTAAGAGTTGCGAGATGGCTATCTGGAAGCAGGCTTTGTTGAACGAGGCCGCTCGAGCCAGTAAATTTTTCAGTGGGTGCACGCTGATTGATCTGGAAAAGGCGTACGAACGCATCACGCACGAGCAATTGATACGAGCATGCAACAAGCACGGGTTCAGTTTGAGGAGGTTGAAGTTTCTCATGTTGGTCTACTCGGGCAAGCGGGTCATTAAAGTAGGAGAAGCGGTGTCCATGCCCTTTGAGCTGAACACCACCATAGTGGCAGGCTGCTCGTATGCGACGACGCTGCTGAAAGTAGTGCTGTTAGATGTTTTCGGCGCGGCGGCCAAGAAGTGGCCGAGGATCGGTCTTTCTTTGATGGTGGACGACACTGGTCTCCAGGCCGTGGGTGATCAGAAGCATGTGCGGACTCAACTAGTTAGGTGCACTCTGTTTGTTTGCAGGTCCCTGGAGAAGCTCGAGCTGAAAGTTTCGAGACGTAAATCGATCCTGGTGGCCTCGGACCCGAAATTAGGAAAGCAGCTGGCATGGGCGCTTCGGGAATTCGGGTTCAAGCACGTTCAGGCGACCAAAAACCTCGGGGTCGATTTCAAGCTGAGGGCTGGAAAGGGTAGAAATGTCACTAAAAAGCGACTGACGACGACCAGGGGCAGGGTGCGACGGTTCAGGGCTTTCAGATTCTCTCGGAAGCCGCTTCAGAATGTTTATCGAGGAGGCCCCACACCGGCGGTCATGTATGGTGTTTCGGTCGTCGGCCTCGGCGACACGCAGTTGGAGCAGCAGCGCGCCTCGACAGGTGCGGCTCTTTTCGGGCCTGTGAAGGGCCGCAGCCGCAGCTTGCAGTTCCTGTTGGCTGAGGTCGAGAAGCTCGACCCGATGTTCGCAGCAAATTATTTGCCTCTGCAGATGTGGGTCAGAGCAGTATTTGATTCGTGGGCCACGGATGCCCAGATGAAGCACGCCTTCGACTACGCGGTCAAGGCTAGGTCTCAAGGATGGAGGACGGTCCTAGGCCCAGCAGGAGCGGTAGTGCTCACCCTTCAGAGACTCGATTGGGAAGCTGTTTCCTGGGATGTTTGGGTTAACACCGACGGAGTGACCATCAACATCAAAGAAGTAGGGCCTAGGACGGTGCAAACCCTAGCGGATGAAGCGACTAGACGGTTGCTGCGTATACGTGCGGGAGCTCATTACAATGTCTCTTGGGAGCCATATGTGGAGCCTCTGCGTGCTGAACTTGCTAGGTTAAGAGGTGCTGGAGATCATCTTGGGGTCAGTCTGCTTATTGCTCAGGTTTCTGGAGGTCTCCGGACTCAGGCTGATGTTTTCAGGAAGAGGTACGTGATAGATGATCGGTGCCAGTGGTGCCTCCAGAAGAAGGGTACGGTTTTTCACCGAATATGGGGCTGTGATGGCTCCAAGCTGATCAGGAGGGACCATGACCATAGTGGAATGGGGGCCGCAGCCAGGGCCCTGACACAGCCTGACATCCTGTTCACGAGAGCCCTGGTGGACTCCAAGAGGACCGAGTTCCCCAAGATCCTCCAAGGTGCTGAGTATAGGTGGGCTGTGAAGCCCGCGAGTGGAGCGCTAGGCGACACTGGCTGCATCGACGGTTCCGCCTACGACGGAGATATTCGTTGGCTTTTACGTGCTGGCTGGTCGGTCGCCTCCATCAGCCCGAGCATGCAGGTAGATGCAGTGGCCTACGGGCCTTCCCCTCTCCCAGTGCAGGACGTGCCGTCCAGTGAGCTTTACGCCTTCTACATGGCGCTGTGCCTCATGGGGCCCAGTATCCACATCATAACGGATTGTAAAATGGTCTACGACGGGTGGAACATGGGAAGGAGGGGGCGGAAAAATCCAACAAGTGCCACGCGGAGCTTTGGCGCCTCATCTGGATGAGGATCGAGGACGTCGGAGTTAATTCGGTGAATGTGAGTTGGATGCCTTCGCATATGTCGAAGGCGGCGGCGGAACGACGAGGTTATGAGCCTCATTGGTTCAGAGGAAACCAGGAGGCGGACTCCTGGGCCAAGGAAGGTGCCAAGGCGCATCCAGCAAATCATCACCTTCGTGATCGTCTGCGGCATCATCATGATCAGGTTACGTTCATCTCCAGATATATGGTGGCTGTTCTCAAGCATGTCCATCAACTGGGTTATCCTGATGTGTCTTCATACTCTGAGCGTGCCAAAAGAGAGCCTAAGAATTCGGAGGCCCCGATTCTCGAGATAGTCCCAGATGATAAGGGTCACGTTGTCTCGCAGGCTCCTGGCGGTGGGTGGGGGTGCAATGTCTGTGGGATGTCGCGGGCGATTCGCTCTCGGCTGGTGCAGCTGCCGTGCCCTGGGGGTCCGAGGATTGTGTCCCAGGCCCACCCCACCCATCGTCTCTGGCAGAATGGAGGTTTGACCTGGTGCGTGCGCTGTGGAGCGTATGCCCGTTCGAAGGTCAAGGAATTAAGCAAAGAATGTTCGGGGAACCCCGACACTGATTGGAAACGGAAAGCCCTGGGGATTTTGAAGCAGGGGAAGGATCCCTCGTACTCTAAACTGGAGGCGGTTGTCCCTGTCCCCCTAAGGCGCTGAGTCTCCGTAACTCTTTAAAGGGCGGGCGTCTTGTGTTATCGGGACGACCGCTGAGGAGCGCAAGAGCGCAAGAGGACTGTGCCACGAGACGCAGCGCGTGCTCTTCTCGAGGCAGCTCGAAGACGAGGTCCTGCGGGAGGCGGTGCTGAGGCCGAGTGGCCTCAAGCAGTGGGTCGGCTCCGTGCGCGGCCCAAGAGGCCCCGACCTCTTCCCTGGGAAGCAGGCTTGAACGGCCAGCTCCCCCCCCGTCGTCGTCGTCGTCGTCGTCGTCGTCGTCGTCGTCGTCGTCGTCGTCGTCGTCGTCGTCGTCGTCGTCGTCGTCGTCGTCGTCGTCGCGTCGTCGTCGTCGTCGTCGTCGTCGTCGTCGTCGTCGTCGTCGTCGCTCGCGTCATCGTCGTCGTCGCTCGCGTCGTCGTCGTCGTCGCCGTCGTCGTCGTCGTCGTCGTCGTGGTCGTTGTCGTCGTCGCTCTCGTCGTCGTCGTCGTCGTCGACGTATTCGTTTTCGTCGTCGTTTTCGACTTCCTCGTCGTCTTTCATTTCCACAGGCACCCGGAGCGCCCCGGATCGGCGGCACTGGCCGGAGGCCACTACAATACACACACATCCCAGAATTCCCCATCTGTTCCCAGATCTTCGGGATTTCTGTCTTCCCCCCCCCCTTGCCCACATCCTCCCATCTCTTTTCCCAGGAACTGACGATTCACGGTGTCTGTGTTTGTTTCCCCTGCTGACCGACCTCTTCCCTGGGAGCAGTTCTCCGGCCCAGATAGCTTCGGGCCCAAGACCGGCGACTCCAAAGTGTGTGGTTTGCAACGGCTGTGGCTTGCAACCGGCACCCTGGGGGGCACCCCTGAGGGGACTGGCGGAGACCTCGATCGTTCTCCGCCGCGCCACGAGGAGGCCCGACGAGGACAGCGTCGTGCACCCCAGGCACCAACGGCGCCGATCGCAAACCCCACCCCGGCGTAACCACACCCTGTGCAGTCGCCGACAAGAGGCCGACGTCAAGGAGGAGCAAAATGGCAGGAAACGGCCAGATCGGCAGGGATCTGGGCCCCCGGCGGCTTTCGGGCCATGGCTTGGGCCTCCAGCAGCCGTCCGGGACGATCCAGGCCCCCCCAGAAGCTGTTCGACGAGGCGCAACTGCTGAAAAAAGCATCCCGAGGCCGCAGACCTCCGCAACTCGAGAGCCCTCTCCTATCCGGGGCGCGACCCACCCCTGTGGGGCAGCACGTGGGGGGAACGAACAGTGACATTGCGAACTGCTGCGAACTGCGACCTGCCTGGAACGCCGCGGGGGCGCTGCAGGGTGGGGCCGAAGCACCCAGAAAGCGACTACAATACAGCACTACCGGAATGCGTCTGGGAAATAGCGAAATCTACAAAATCATCCTCTGGATGCATCTGCGAAGTAGCGAAATAGCGAAGCAGACAACCTCGGAGCTCCGCGGCGCGCTGGAGGCGCCGCCGGGGGGGTCCAGCGCCGATCCGTTCGCCCCCCTAGCAAAAAGGGCGCCGACACCGCCACTCCCCGAGCCCCTCCTGCTGCACACCCTGGCCAAAACTTCGATGAGGGGGCCCTGGGACACACAAATAAATACACACAAATAAAAGGATTCCCCATATGTTCCCATATTTTCTGGGTTCTTGTCTCTCCCCCCCCCACTTCCCATCTTTCCCCATGCTTTCTGGGGGATCGACGATTCATTGTGTGTGTGTGTGTGCGTTTTTTCCCCTCCTGAACCCTGGCCAAAAACTTCGAGGCCAAGCCAGTGGTGGCGGCGGGAGCCTGCCGGGAGGCCCAAACAGAGGCTCGGGCGGGTGGCGACCGGGGGGGGGGACCCAGGGCCCCAAAGGGGCCCTGTCGGGCTCCTTTTGGAACCAGAAGCTGCCCAAAGGGGGCCCTAAAGTTAAGTCGGGCCTGCCCCCCTACAGAGGGATTTTCGACGAAAAATCAAAAATACCCCAAAACAAATCAAAAAGTAATCAAAAATAACAAGTGGATTACTTGTTGAATATTTTTTGACCTTTCTGGTGTATTTTTGGGGTACTTTTTATTTGTCATCGAAAACTCCCTGTAGGGGGACAGGCCCCACATAACCCTCAAGGGTGCCTCCAGGGCCCTTTCCTTCACGCCCCACTGGGGTCACCCCCCGTTGCCGCCCGCCCCACGGGCGAAAACGAAGCCAAGGCAGCGGTGTCGGCACCTGTTCCTCCTCCGACTCAGGGCCCCATCTCTGAGCCGCCGGCATTCGCCCCCTCCCCCCCCCCCGAGATTGCCCTCCCTTGACTGGCAACTCACGGGAGCCTCCCGTAACATCTTGTCGGTTTTTGCGAATCGACGCTAGTCGAGGCTAATCGACGCTAAATCGATGCTATCCAACGCTAAATCGGCGCGATCTCATCGACTCCCAAGCGCTAATCGACGCTAGCCGACGCTAAAGACGGATTTACGATGGTATGTATTGCTTCCGAACAACCCCTCGAGATTGTTGATTATTGTTATTTTGTTATTGCTTTGCGTATCATTATGGTAGCGGCCCTTGCCTGGGAGGTAAGGTTGGTGTCACTTGTAACGGTGACGCCTGGGCCGCTTGGGCCGGGTGGGCACGTCGGGGCTGGGGCCCGCAGCGATCGCCGCAGAATGCAGCAGGAGCTTGGCCACAAGAGACCTTCTGCAAGCAACCCATGCCTGAAACCCCAGGACGTCCATTGATGTTTGGTGTGGGAGCGTCACGCTTTCCATCGCAGAACCATCAAAACCCAAGAGAAACCCAGTGCACCCTGGAGGCAAGCAGGATGTTTCTTGGCACGGGCTTCCACGGTTCGGGGTCCGGGCTCCGCCTCCCCCGCCCCCGATGAAGGGCCCGGGCCTCGCTTCCCCCGCATGTGCGATCGTTCCCGTTGCTGGAGGCTTGGAACTTGACACCAACACCAACACAGGGGGGGGGTGCCTCCACCAGGGGAAGATGATCCCAGATTTTGGTGGTGGTGGTGGTGATCTTTCGGCCGCCTAGGAAGCCAGAATGTTACCACCATCACGGAGATTGGGATACTCTTCCCTCGGTGGAGGCATAACGCCGATATTGGTGTTGGTGTCAACCTCTAGACCTCCGACGTTACCTTGGGGGGTGCTGGCCCCAGAAACATCGGACGGGGCTAGGACGAAGAGATTAATCCGTTCCAGAGCGTTCTGGAACGCTGTCAGAACGTTCAGGAAGGCTCTGAGAAGGCCGCGGCGCCCGAGACATGCTCCAGATCCGCCAGACCTCGGGGACTCTCGATCTATCCTCACTCGTCCTGGCTTTGTCTGATAACAACCGTTGCGCGCCAGCGGAGACACGTCGGTCGGAGGAAGTAGTAAAAACAGGAAGTAGGAAGGCGGATAAAGTAGATTGGGCTCAGGCCCTCCCAGAGAACGATAACACACAGCAAAAGCACATCGATTCTGGAAGTAGGGAGGCGCTTGAGGTAGATTGGACACTGAGAATCCGAATATGCCTACTTTCACCGACCGGCGTGTAACATCCGTTGCGCGCCAGCGGGCCAACAAAGAAGCATTTCCCGCCAGGCTCTCCTGGACATGCGCGCGAAGGCGTCCGTGCTCCGGGTTCCGCGGTCGGGTCGGCCGCCCGCCAGGGGGCCCGTGGCGAGCCCGGGAGCCAGCCAGTCGTCGCCGCCGCCGCCGTCGTCGTCGTCGTCGTCGTCGTCGTCGTCGTCGTCGTCGTCGTCGTCGCCGTAGTCGTCCGTCGTCCGTCGTCCGTCTTCGTCGTCGTCGTCGTCGTCGTCGTCGTCGTCGTCGTCGTCGTCGTCGTCGTGGTCGTGGTCGTCGTCGTCGTCGTCGTCGTCGTCGTCGTCGTCGTCGTCGTCGTCGTCGTCGTCGTCGTCGTCGTCGTCGTCGTCGTCGTCGTCGTCGTCGTCGTCGTCCGTCGTCGCCGTCGCCGTCGCCATCGTCGTCCGCCGCAGCTGTGGTCGGAGCCTCCAGGGGCCGAGGCAAAAAGCAGCACTGGCCGACTCTTCACAGCACTGCTCTTAAGTGTGCTTCGTGTGCGCACTTCCGTCGGGGTGCGCCTGGCTCCCCCAAAGGAGGTACCCAAAGAGAGGAACAGAGGGGCCCAAAAGGAGGCCACCGACAAGACAGCCGACGAGACAGACGACCGGAGTCGCCCCGCGATGCGCCGCGCGCGGCCGTCGTCGCGCCCTCGCGATGCTGACCTGGCGAAGAGCCCCTCTCGGGACCGGGCCGAGACGGGCTTGGCGCGATGACCGATCGCCTTCGGGACTCCGGAGGTGAGCGTTTTTTCATTAGATCTTTTGCCGATCGGCGCGGGCCCTTGCATCCCCCCCTCCGCTCTCCTACGCAGCAGGCCGACCCGCCGGCCCCGTGCCCCCGACCCAGACCCTGCTGAAAACCAGACCAGCTGGAGAAGGAGGAGGAAGAGGAGGAGCAAGGCTCAACCTGAGTGATGTTTTCCGTTTCTGTTATGTTCTCGTGTTCCCTGTGTTGTCTTCGCCCCGCTTGGGCTGCAAATTAGCCTGGCGAAGGACCCAAACATATGCAGTTGTGAGCACCGTCGATGTATGCACCGTATTCGAAGGAACTCCCTATAGGGCCACGAAACGTGTGAGGTGTGCCAAAATTTGTCCTGTGGGCGCATGCGAAAGCAGCCTCTGGGGCCGTCGGTGGACTGTGGCCGTCGGTGGAATTTCCTATGGGGCCACGAACCGCATGAGAGATGTGCCGAAACAGGTGCGGTGGGCGCATGCGAACACAGCCACTGGGGCCGTCGGTGGGGTTTTCTTTCGGTGCCGCGAAACATGTGATTGGTGTGCCGAAACATGGGTGCGGTGGGCGCATGCGAACGCAACCGCTGGCGCCTTCGGTGGAGCTCCCTGTGGGGCCACGCGACGTGTGAGGGGTGTGCTAGAATTGCCGTGCGTGACGCATGCGGGCGGTGGCACTGGGGCCTTCGGAGGAGATCCCTATGGGGCCAAGAAGCGTATGAGGGATGTGCCGAAATGGGTGTGCGTGACGCATGCGGGCGGTGGCACTGGGGCCTTCGGTAGAGCTCCCTGTAAGGCCACGAATCGTGTGAGGGGTGTGCCGAAATAGCTATGCGTGACGCATGCGGGCTGTGGCTTGAGGGCCCTCGACCGATCCCCGAGCCTCGAGCCCCGACGTCAGCACACGGAGGGCCCGCCTGGCCCCGCGGGGCCCCCCCCAAAGGCGGGCGGGGCCCCGGCCCGACCGCGGCCGCTGGATGTCGGCCAGCCTGGCGCGGCACCCGCACAGAAACGTCATCACCTGCGCCTTGAGTTCGGGGATGTCCAACTGCTCGGCCATCACGAGCCTGGGCCGCGCGCCGCAGGCGGGAGGGCGGCGCCTGCCCCCCCAGAGCCGGGTGTCGCAGCTTCTTCACATCGGGCGCTATCGTTAAGTCGGGCCTGTCCCCCTGCAGGGGGATTTCGGAAGAAAAATGAATACTCAAGAAATCGTCCCAAAACTATGTTTTGACTATTTCCCAACCATCCTGTGGTGTTGGGTCCTCGTTTTGAAGAGACGTCGCCCCGCGTTCCTTCCTTCCTTCCCGCTGCCCCCTCCCTCCTCCCATCTTCATCATCATCGTCATCACCCATTTCGGCACACCCCTCACACGTTTCGTGGCCCCATAGGGAGCTCCACCGAAGGTCCCAGTGGGTGTGCCCGCATGCGTCCCGCACACCCATTTCGGCACACCCCTCACACGTTTCGTGGCCCCATGGGGGGCTCCACCGAAGGTCCCAGTGGGTGTGCCCGCATGCGTCCCGCACACACATTTCGGCACACCCCTCACACGTTTCGTGGCCCCATAGGGAGCTCCACCGAAGGTCCCAGTGGGTGTGCCCGCATGCGTCCCGCACACCCATTTTGGCACACCCTTCACACGTTTCGTGGCCCCATAGGGAGCTCCACCGAAGGTCCCAGTGGGTGTGCCCGCATGCGTCCCGCACACCCATTTCGGCACACCCCTCACACGTTTCGTGGCCCCATAGGGAGCTCCGCCGAAGGTCCCAGTGGGTGTGCCGGCATGCGTCCCGCACGCCCAATTCGGCACACCCCTCACACGTTTCGTGGCCCCATAGGGAGCTCCACCGAAGGTCCCAGTGGGTGTGCCCGCATGCGTCCCGCACACCCATGTCGGTACACCCTTCACACGTTTCGTGGCCCCATAGGGAGCTCCACCGAAGGTCCCAGTGGGTGTGCCCGCATGCGTCCCGCACACCCATGTCGGCACACCCCTCATACGTTCGTGGCCCCATAGCTCCACCGAAGGTCCCAGTGGGTGTGCCGCATGCGTCCGCACACGGCGTCGTGCCCCATAGGGAGCTCCACCGAAGGTCCCAGTGGGTGTGCCCGCATGCGTCCCGCACACCCATTTCGGCACACCCCTCACACGTTTCGTTGCCCCCCATAGGGAGCTCCACCGAAGGTCCCAGTGGGTGTGCCCGCATGCGTCCCGCACACCCATTTCGGCACACCCTTCACACGTTTCGTGGCCCCATAGGGAGCTCCACCGAAGTCCCAGTGGGTGTGCCCGCATGCGTCCCGCACACCCATTTCACACGTTTCGTGGCCCCATAGGGAGCTCCACCGAAGGTCCTGGGTGTGCCCGCATGCGTCCCGCACACCCATTTCGGCACACCCCTCACACGTTCCGTGGCCCCATAGGGAGCTCCACCGAAGGTCCCAGTGGGTGTGCCCGCATGCGTCCCGTCGTCTCTCTGCCCAGCGGCAAGAGCCTTGCCCGCTATCAGCCAGCCAGCTAGCTCTTTTTGCTCCGCGCAGTGGACGACCCGCGCGCGTCGCTGGGACCCCTCCGGGGCGACCTGCGCGCGTCGCGGGGACTCCGCGCTGCGCTGCGCCCGCAACCTTGGACTTTTGAGTGCGCGGGCAAAGAGGGAGTAAAGGAAGGGGAGGAAGCGGGCGCGATCCTCGCCGGTGGGCGCGCCGACATTGGCGTCGCGGCGCGCGGGCGATGCCGTCGGGGAGTCCCGGGGAAGCTCCTTGCGGCGGCCACGCCCAGCGTCACGAGTACTCAGAGGCAGACATTGTCAAACTATTGACATTCATACACAATTGCGCCACGCTTTGTCATATTCGCATTCATGCACGTAGACTCGTTCGCACGCAGATTCATTCACAGTCAGACGCACGCGCGCAGATTCACCCGCGCTCAGTCTCCCTACGTACTCAGATCAATCGTTTTCGTTCGCGTTGTGTACCACGCCACTCATGTCGGCACACCCCTAGCACGGTTCGTTGCCTCATAGGGATCGCCACCGAAAAAGTGAATCACTATTGCGGTACTCACACCTGTATATGGTTGGGTCCCTCGTCAGGCTAATTTTGAATATTCCTCCTGTAGAGGGACAGGCCCGACTTGACGCTATCGCCCACTCTCGATTCGGCGCGAGAAGATGGCGCGCTGGTTGGTCCAGGACTCCGGGCGTGCTTTTTCGCGGTGGTGCGCGTTTTGTTTGCAACGTCTGATCTCGGGCTAAGTTGTTCCCATCCTACGCAAGGACCGCCTCCCTGAAATCATTTCGAGCACCCCGGAAAGTGCCCTAAGAGTGTCGAAACAGTGTCGAAACGGTGTCGGGCGAGTGCCTCCCAGGGCCCGACACGTGAACACCCTTGCATCTCGGTACTTCATCCTCCAAACCCGCCGATTCTCTGAGATTTCGAAATATCCCCATCCGATGTTGTCCCGATCTTCGCGTCGTTTTACCCATGCTGGGCTCGGGGCCGGTGCGCGAAGCCCTCCGAGGCCGAGCCCGGCCGGCCCCGGCCTCTCCTGCCAGGGCCGCTGCGGGTGCCTGGCCGACGCCCTCCCTATAGGGGCCTCCCGGCTGGGGTCGGAGCATCGCGCCGCAGCGCCGGTGCCTCACAAACGGCATCGGCGACGTCGGCGATGCATCGGCGACGTCGGCGTGGAGGAGATCGGGCTCCACACCGAGCCGCATCGCCGGAGGATCGGCGACGCGGCGCGATCCTGCCAGGGAGTGTTGGGAAGACCCTCTGCCCGGCCGACCGAGGACCGAGGCGAGGCTGCTGGGCGGCCTCTGCGAGAGGGGCCAGGAAACGGCAGAAGCATAAACTGTTAAAGGGGCCCCAGAACACACATATAAATAAACACCAGTAAAAAGATTCCCCGCACGCTACGCAGAGGAGCAGTCGTCTCGGAGGCAGCGCGCGGGGCGCGCGCGACGGACCGCGAAGGCAGAGCGGACCGACGCGCGGGGGCCCCGTGCGGCGGACTCAGGAGGCGTCGTTCGACGGCGGCTCCTGGACGCCCAGGGGGGCGTAGCAGCGCCGCAGGCTAGCCTTTGAAGAAGGAGGGCGGAGAATGAGGGGGCCGAGAAGCTGCAGACCGACTGCGCATTGCGGGCGCGGCGGGGATATGAGAGAGCATCCCCGCACGCTACGCAGAGGAGCAGTCGTCTCGGAGGCGGCGCGCGGGGCGCGCGCGACGGACCGCGAAGGCAGAGCGGACCGACGCGCGGGGGCCCCGTGCGGCGCACTCAGGAGGCGTCGTTCGACGGCGGTTCCTGGACGCCCAGGGGGGCGTAGCAGCCATACCCATGCTCAAAGCCATTGCGAAGTGACAAGATATTGGCGGGCGGCTGCAAGACGCAGAGGCCACGCAGCAGGGCCATGTGCGAGAAAAGAAGCGACAAGGAAGTCGCTAGCACAGGCAAAGTACTCGACCCGAGCCCTCGCGGCGTCGGGTAGGGTGGCGAGGACAGTGGAGGCACCATTAGCCAGAATATATCGCTCGGCGCAGGACGTTTGGCGCCAACGACTGTGCCAGAAGACACACGGGACGTCTTCGGTAGCGATATGAAAATCCGTAGCTTCTGATGAGCCTCGAAGGCAAGCAGGGGTAAAGTGAAACCCTGCAGGGGCCTTGTGCAGTGGCGCGCCAAGCGCAACCAGGAGAGAGTTCCACCGAGTACGGAAGCCGCTTGGACCGAAGGTCGAAAGCGGACCGGTGGCCCCCAAATTGCTATAAAAAACAGATCAATTATTCTGACCGTCGCTCGATCCGAGCTGCGAGCGCGTTGGTAAACGCGCTCGGTGAGTCGGGACGAATGCCACGAGTGCGACCAACGAGCTGTCGGAACTTGGATCACCAAAAAGGCGTCACCTTCAGCCTCAAGGCGGTCACATGGCAATGACAGGTGGCATCGCCATGCGTTCAAGACCTCTCCGAAGTGCAGGGACATAGTAAACCCTGCCAACAGCAGTGCTGCCATCTCGGGCCAGTCCCAGGCCAGACAAAGGCCCACCATCGCTCGCAGCAGAGCACGTGGGAGTGGAGGGCGGAGCCGCTGTGGCTCGGCCCGCTTCCACTGTTTGGCAACGTCCCAGGCCGGAGAAAGAAACACCTTCCAATGAGGGTGTTGGGCCTGAATGCCAAGAGTGGCATGGGCGAAAATATAGTGCGGAAGGCCCGCGTCATAAAGCCAAACCCCCAAAGTGGCAAGGAATCTGGCCAAGAGGATCCCGCTGCGGTGGAGAGTGTCGGGGAACACACCCGTAAGCTCCTCGAGCCAGAGCTCGAATGCATGGAGCGACCGGGAGCGGCGCTCCGCGATCGCAGGGGCGAGGTAGGTAACCCGATCGACCGGCAATCGCGCGGCGCGACTGACCGTGCCAGGGCCAATGTCCCCAGCGGAGCCTCCGGCAGCAGCGGTGAGGTCATCCCGCGGGGCGGCGCTGGCGGTCCGCTCCGCGCGCCGCCGTCTGCGAGCAGCAGGCCGAGCCCTAGCAACCTCGGCGGCGGCCGGGGAACCCTGCAAAGCCGTAGCGACCCTGCTGGTTCCCCCCTCGCCTGCCTCAGGAGAGGGCGGCCCCCGCCCAGGCGTGCCCGAGGGCGGTCGTTCGGTAGCAGAGCCCGCCTCCGCGCCAGCAGCGGCGGCGGGGGCGGCGGCGGCCAGGGCGCTGAGCGGTCGGCGGCGGTCGGCGGCGACAACGTCCGATCGAGCGTCTGCTCGGAACAGCTGCGCCATCGAGGCGAAAGGAGCACGGGCGGCGCGCGCGGGAAGGGGCGCGCGCGAAACACGTTGCACGGCGGCGTCCGTGGCGCTCGCCGAGCAGGGGAGGCCTGCCGGAGGACGCGCCCCCGAGCCTTCATACCCCGCAGGTGGTGTGGATGCTGCACGCGGCGCCGCCGCTGCCCGAGGCGCCCTGCGAGCGACGACGTAGTGCCTGGGAGGCCCCGCGCGCCGTGCGACGGCGTCGGCAGGCGACGGCGGGGCAAGCGGCCCTCGGCCGTCCCCGTCACGGGACCTGTGGCGCTCCCCCCGA